ACCAAAAGTACATGAATCAGAAGTCAAGCTGAAACCATAATCTCAATGTACACTCATACCAGTTGGTGTATATACAACAGCAGATCACATAAGAATAGGTAGCAGCTTCATCTTTAGTTGTCCATAGCACCTAGGATAAAATTCATATCGTAATAGGAGCCCTCACCCTAGCTGATGGTGAATGGGCAAGACCTTGTGGATGTAGCCTTGGAATTTCCCAGTTCAAACATTCTTGAAAATAACAAAGTTTTCATTAAGCATTTGTTTTAGTCTGCCAGGACAGAACATTATCTTAGCATTTATCCAGGCTACCGGAAAGGAACTGATCACATAAACAAAGTGCAAACACTACTTACATAAAAGTTGTTATAAATTGTTTCTTTTTGCCATATGCATTCTCAGAAAGTTAAAAAAAAACCCACCCCAAAATATACATGTATGTATGCATGCTTGCTGCCCAGTTACAATTTTCTGCCTCTAAAAGGGACGACTTTTACAGTACTGTGAGGAGCCTCCAAAAAATCCCAAAAGGTAAGGAACATTAGTCTAAAGAAAAAAAAGGAATGACACTTTGTAGTCAGTTCACCAGTCTGGAAAACATTTAACCATAGCTATTGGAAAAAGATTGTAGGAGCAGTAAGATTGCTTGCTGAGAGAGTAAAACAACAATAGTTTTTTTAAAGACTAAAATAATCACACTCCTCATATACAAAGCAGAGAAAAAAAAAAAAAAGAAAAGGAAGTTTATAGGATGTTTAATGATTTTGGTTAGCACTTTTTTTACCAAATTAAGGACGAAATGACCTCTAACGACGGTACCAACCCATTATGAGATCAGAATGGTTGAGCAGTTGATAACAGAGCAGGAAAAACTCAACTATTTGATTAGAATCTGTTCTGGTTTGGGAAGAAACAGGTTACGTGTTTATAGCAAGGGATGGCAGTGAAATACTTTCCATTCCAGCAATAACTGAAAGGGATGTTAAATCACAGTCTTCTGAGCCAAATGCCTTAACGCCATAGTCATGTTCTCTTGCACCAGTCCTAACCACCGGGCTCCCAGGAGCAGACAGAACAACATCCTCTGCTTGGCAGTAGGATTCTTACGTGGAAAGAGGGAGCAGAGTTCTGGCTCCAGACCATGTGCCTTGTAAGAGTTAGGACTAACATTTCAACAGTAAAAAAAAAAAAAAAGAACCCCATACATACACAGTTACTTTTTCATAAACAGAAACTGGAACACAGGACTCTTTTTCCTCCTCCCTGTCACAGATCCCATAGCCGTACATTAAACTCCCCACAAAACAGCAAGGGGAGCCTAACTGGGTATTTTACTACAGAGTCTGTGTCTCTGTGCTAAGCACTGCAGCACACTAACCTCTTTGTAGACTTAGCCCTTATTAGCATTTGGCACTGCTGCAACTGCTCCTGGCATGTTCCGCTAAGGGTAATGTCCACGTTGCAAGAAAGATGTTGATGAAGCACAAGTAAGGACTTCAAGAAGAACTATGAAAGTGATGAAAGGCTTAGCTAGTGCAAAAGCAGGCAACTAATTTATTTTACTGTCAAAAAGGTTAAGAGGCAATTCACAATAGTCTAGAAGTACTAATGGGAGAAACAGAAATTGGATGCTACTGGGCCTGTTAGTCTACCAGCCAAAAAAAACCAAGATCCATAAGCCGAATGACAAAGCTAGACTAACTCCTACTAGGAAAGAGGAACAAAATTTTAACACTGACAGTTAACAGCCATGGAAAAAATAGGAAGGCTTGTGGTAGATCATCTCCATCACTTCCAATTTTTAAACCAAGCTGGATTCCCACCCCCCAAAAAACATGCAAGGTCAAACAGTAACAAGTTCATACAACCAGGAGACAGTGTGTTGAAGGATCCTTTATCCTAGCAGGAGGCTTTTATCTCAGTATTTCTGACTGTAACCAACACTGGATAATCAAGAGCATGCTAAGCCTTTCAGCTTTACTACAGCCAATTTTGGCTGTAAAACTTTACAGAAAACCACAAAGGAATGACAAACCCAGTAAGATAGGCTGTGCCAAATCTCAAAATAAGCAAAAGCTTCTGAACATTGATTTTTCTCTACTGATAGACTGAAGGTATGATTAACTTCCAGAATGCTACAAAAAAACAACCAGAGTTACTGGAAAATGCTGAAAAAATGGAAGGGGCCCAGCAGAGAGCTACCAAAAGCATTATAAGGCAGGAGAACTTGACATAAGAAGAAAAGACTGAAAGAATGGGGTTTGTTCAGCCAAAAGAACAGAAAGTTCAGAGATCTAATCAAAGTCTTCCAATACATAGGAAGTAGTTATAAAGGAGATGCAGGTACTCTCCACAGAAGGATACTTGTTATATACACAGGATATATATGCTATATTATCTGATGTTTGCCTACAGGTGGATTTGTTACACCACTGTCTCTGCTTCTTAAGTGCATAGTACTGGATCTCTATCTGTCCTCTAGAAAAAAATCCATGACCCAAGAAAATCACTATTCATTGCTAACACTGTAATGTATTTTTTACAGGGTTTTTTGAGACAAATCAGTAGCCCTGAAATCAAAATAATATATTTTTGTGCAAGTTAAGTGTAGGTCTGCAAGCCAAGTTTACTTTAGTTAGCTCTGAACACGTTTCTATAAGCTTTTGAATTTCTGTCTACCCATAGGTCCTCATCCCTGGGCCAATGCAGCTTCAGCCCAGGCCTCACTAATTTAAGTAATGTAGTTTTTTTAATTTTCTTAAAAAAAAAATCAAACAAAACAACCAACCACCAAAAAGCAAACAAACAAACAAAACCCACAAAAAAAAAAACAAAAAAAAAACAACCCCAAACAACACCCTCATTCAACAGCAGGTCCTTTTAAATAATTATACCCCAGCTCTTTTGTTGTTGTTCTTAATTACACACTCATCCTATACCAACTTGAAGTATACAACTGACAAATGTTATTTCTCTTTTTAGAGTAATTGGTATCTTGATCTAATCCTTTATTTGTGGTCTTGATTTTCAATAGCAGAGAACACAAAACAAACATTTTTTTGCTTACACTCCAAAGTATAAACAATAGTAATCTCAAAGTGTACAGACGGCAAATGAACTGCGATAGTGGCATTTAGTCCCTTACACACACTCGTAAGAATGCAGTGCACTCAGTACTTCCAAACTGTCAAACTATTCAGAACACTTAAAACATTCTACAAAGAAAGAACAGAAAATTAATAACATCCTGGAAATTAAATACTCTTAACAAAAATTGCTCAAAGACTTCCTCTTTTTCTGAATGGAACAGGAAGTGACAGAAGAGATGAAAGACGCTAATTGTACATCGCAGCTCATGATTTATTTCTTTTTATTCTGGAGACTGGATGTGTCTAGAAATGTAACACCTTCTGATACTGTTTTAAATATACCAAATATACCAAATCTTAATGATCTAGAAAGATTTTTAAAAAATTTTAAAAATAGGCAGGAAAAATAAATAAATGTGCAAACAGCAGCTTTAAACCACGTTTTCTGGAAGGAGCATACCTATGCCCAGAATAAAAGCCATAGGTTGACATAAACCCAAGAATAACATTCTCCCTGTTTTATTCTGCCACAATTATCAATAACTGTATTACTCAATTATTAAAACTGCATTGACTGAAATGATCACAGTCCTTGCTTAACATACAGCACATCTTAGCAACCTCTGCAAAAAACACGCAACTAATCCAAATCAGCAAGAGAAAAACAAACCCACTTATCTCACCAGTTAAAATTTCTACAGAGAATATTCTTAGAATATATGTTGTTTATGGGACTTCAATTTTAGTATTCCATATAACACATACACAGCAATATCTGGAAATAAAATGTATGTTCCTGAACAACTTACAAGGCACGACTTTTGTAAAATCACTGCAATTTTGAAGTCAGCCTTTGAGGCACAATGTTTTTCAGAATAAGGCTCAAGTAACTTAAAACGTAAGTAGAAATTATATTTGGTTCATTTTTCATGCTATTCACAATAAAAGCATTAAGTCTGTCTTTTTTGTTCTGCTGGTATGTTTAAAAAAATGGTACTTACTTTTAAACTTCAGTATCATTTGGATCAAAATTTAAAATAATTCTCTTTCACTAAAATGACATAACTATATTTTAAAAAGACACATGTATTTGCTTCACAAAATGAAATCTAAACTTTTCCTTAAAAATACAGATTTCTATCAATGATAGCTGGGATCATCAGAGTACTACAACAAAAAACTGTAGTATTTCACCATTTAAAAGATCTGCAAAACAGTAAAGGAAAAACAACTCCTAATATTTGGATTTTAAAAAATTATTAATCTGCAGTATGTCATGTGGTAAAGTGTCAGAGCTAAGACCCAACTGCAAACGCAGGTGGGTTCCCAAAATGTCATGCAGTCTGGAGCCAGCCAGTCCCCATCAGTCAGGCGGCCCAACCAGGAGGAGACTGTGAAATTCCTATAAATGGCTGAGCATTACAGGAGAAGGTCTACAGTAGATTTGGAAAAGGCAGTGTCTTCACAGCAGATCTTTAACCCAGCAGACCCCAGGGTATTCAAAGGAACAACACTTTTTTGAGTCAAAGATAACACCGATACCTGGAAAAAATCCTTGTTCTTGGAAGTTAGGCTGAGGTGAGGAGAGGAGCAATGCAGTTTACATACCAGAGTGGTAATGCATCTATCACAACACAGCTGCATCACATACTTGTTTTGAGCAATGTTACTTTTTACATTGACAAGCGCTATGTGACTGTAGATTCTACCACTTAAGTGTGTGATTCAGCAAGACATAACATTACTGACACCCTCATTATTAGAAAGTGATTATCTGTGAATTAAGTCTGTAGCAATTCAGAAATGAAGAGAGAAATATGTTTATACTCTCAAGCACCCACTGAGGCACTCCTGGCTCATTTGCCAGGCTATTCAGTGCACAATTAATCATTAATTCCACAAAGCACGTACCTGCCAAACCAAGTGTTCCTTTACAACAGCTGTACCTGATAGACAGACGCTCAGCACAATCGTATGAGATGCAGAGGTCAAGACGCTGGCAACTATAGCGTCCCTCATGTTGAAGGGCAGCATGGTATACACCACAAAAATAATGAACAAGAAAAATGATACCTGTGCAAGACAGCAAGACAAAAAAGAAGCATGTCAAATTCACTTTGGAATAACGTTGAAGAAATAGCATTTAATTTTGAACTGTCTTTAGCATAAAGTTACACATCAGGTTTTTTACAGGAAATTTACTATTAATGGCAAAAATTCAATATAGGAAAAATTCATTTTTAAAAGTGATGGAAATTTTACATTATATTTGATTTAAGAAGTATAGTTTCAAGATACTATGTCATGGTTCAAGAACGACACAAAACTCAAAACTCTTCCAATTCAACTTCAAATTCACCCTTTAAAATTTTAATTTCATTAACACTCTGTATACAGACAGCGTAAACAGCATTATCCTGGGTCTGGTGAGTTTTGATTGTGAACTGCATTACAAAACAACTGGTCAAACCCTTCCACATGGCCTAAATTTCAATGCAGAGAAATTCTGTTCATCCTGATGCATTAAGCAAAAAAACCCAAGTTCAGCTAAGCATTTTGGTTTAGTAAGATTATACTTCATGTCTATCTACATGACATTTGTTAAATTCCTTTAAAACACTACATTTTAAGCAAATACATTTATTTGGACATGAAAAAAACAACTTCAGACTATCACAGCCCATCAGAAGAATATGCTGTCAGCTTCTTTTAAGGGGTACTAGCGTCAACACTAACTTTATGGAACAAACTCTCCAAATGCACAACCCAACCTGTAACAGCATAAATTCCTTCGCTATATACACAAAAGGTTATATATTTGATGGTATGCATATGTTCCAACCTACAACACGATTCCTTTGCTATACACATGAAAGGTTATATATTTGACGGTATGCATATGTTCCAACTTACAACACATATTTGAGAAAATGTAACGATTTGGGGGACAGATTTTGCACACATAAGTAAGTAGGCAACTCTGAAAATGTGCCAGATTGCACATAATTATAACCCTACATAAGCCTTTCCATCAGTTTTAGTTAACTTGCAAGCTTATTAACCATCTAACAGTTATGTACACACAGTATTTAACTCAGAAAGCTCTAAAGCAGGTAGGAACAATAACAATTTGCTGCTCACTTTCCTTATTGTCAGTTTGTTTTCTTCATATCTGCATGTGATGATTACATACTCAAAACTGAACTCTAGTGTATGTGCATCTACAAGACAGTGGAGGCATTCTTCTCCATCACGGAGACAGAACTGGATGGAGAAAGAAGTCCACTTCTCCACTCATCTTTCTCCAATTCTTCTATTATTTTAACCCAACTCCTTCGAGACCACTCATACTGCCCAACCATCCTGTATGCTCAAGAGTCAGAGTCCAATGGCATGAAATGCAACGGAAATGCAAAGGACATGGGGGATGATAAGAAAATAAAGTAACAAAAAAGCTTCTCTAGTCTTCCAGTCTACCAGCTGATAGCACAAGGTAACAGAAGTCTGATATCTGTTTAGTTTCTGTCCTCCCTAGAAGTTTTAACTGAAATCAGATGTTAGTAAAACCAACAGCAAAGAAAAGGGTGTATAGGTTTAGTCTAAATAACATAAGGGTTATGTAAGAATGATGTTTTCAAATTGTCCTGGCTGGGTAAAAATCAAGTGTGAGACTGAGAGAACTGATAGTCTCAAAACTTGGGAAAGATGTAGAAAGTTCCAGCAGGCTAGGAAAGGGAAACACAGCATGTGTCTTTGAAAGGCTGAGGAAGAGGCTGACGAATTAAGAACTGAGCAGCTTAGCTTCAATTCCTGGAGAAATAATAAATCAATTCCTAATCATGAGCTCTGAAAGCTAACAAAAATGTAAGTAACAGCCAATGTTATTTTGCTGAGAACCAATCATGTTAAAGCAATCTTATCTTCTTCTGTCACAATAACAGCCATCAGGGTAGGGGGAAAACCTGAACAATAAGTTAGGCAGCATCAAGGATCTGAAAGATCCTCTAACATAAGCATAAGAAGAATGGATGTCAGATGCAAAATACCTTACCAGCATGTAAGACCAGCTGCCTAACATATGTTTACAGTTAAAAAATGTTCTGAAGGAGAGTCCTGGAAGAAGAATTTCAAATGTTTCCAATCCTAGTGACTTTTCATGAAAACAAGGTTTTGTTGTTTCTAAGTTTAGGTTTCTAATTTACTAGAGGGAATATGGCATTTACGTATTTGTGATGATTTTACAATTAGAAAATAAAAATTACTCTTGTCTGTCTTGTATTCAAAAAATAGAACTTGCATATTTTCAGTGTTTGAATATGGTTTGACTTTACTGCCAGACTAAATGATCCACCCCAATTGTGAGATATATGCTACATAATTACTAAAACTCATTAGTGGATATAAGATATAATATGATGCTGTTACTTTTCAACTTTGACATAAAACAGACTACTAAGCACGTAAAAAAAGATTTGTTATATTGCAGTGCTTCTAGTGGTATCAGCTGTATCAGCTCCAAATTTGTTATGCTGCTGTAAACAAGTATCCTTTCTTCAAATTACCCACTACTTTCCTTAGTCAAAAAAAAAAAAGGGTAATTTCAACCTTGCACAACTAAAGATAGAGTTTTTAGAAGTGTTAACCCCTCTTGACATTACATATTCAGACATCAAATTCTCCATTACTCAACATCAAGCAGGCTGAATTGGACTGGAACTACGTTAAAGAACACTTGATAACAAATTGACTTGTCAAATCTTATATTTGCATCTTGAAATATGGCTCTGAGACTACTGTTGTAAAGCAGGAGATGTATCAGTCATGCTAAGACAGAAACTTTCATCCAAAATGCACATCAAGAATGGCTCCAGTCAATAATTCTTGATTTTTGGCCACAGTCCTTTTCTCTTATTTCAGGTAATGGTCTAATGACACAAGGAGTTGAGAGCTCCATTTATCACAGAGGTTCCTTTCTCCCCAAGTACCCTGAAATAAGATGCTTCTACCCTTCATCTTGATAGCAGGCATACACAGCACACAAGGCTTACTTTCAGCATATTTCAGAATGTTGTATTTAAGTTTGATACTGTAGAAGCCAACACTCAAATGCTTCTGAGCAGGGTGGTTCTTCAGGTAGAAAGAGGAGACAGGCTTTCTGGACTGAGTCACATTCTGCAGAACGGACAGCAGTCCTTGACCCTTTCCATGATCATTTTGTAAGAATTAGCAAAATATTGCTGACTGATACAAGCATTAAAAAGCCATGGTGCCAAGCTCTGAAGGATGCCACTATCCCATTGCAAGAGTTGCCAATGCGTGTCACTGCATGTCTGCTCTTAGTCTGTGTATCTGTCAGTAAACACTATTAATCTACAGCACACTATTTTCGTCACTATCAAAAGCAGCCTGTTCCACCGAAGTGGGCCATAACCACAAAGCCTACCACTGTTTTGAAACTGTGTTGGAAGCAATCTTTGATGTGAGTCATCACTACAACTGCCTAGTTGAAACATGAGACACTTTTTGTCCTGATCTGAACTTAGACTGCTTTAGGAATGTGATTCTCAGAGACTTCTTCAATGAGCTCTTATCCCTACCTTAGAAATGGGCATTGATGGTATGCCTTATAGCACGTAGCATTCACATTTGATTAACACTGATGTAACATCTTACAGAGAAGTGTGTGGCTTTCTTGCTTTGATTGAGCAGTATTCAGTACTCTTGCCCATCATCCTTGACTGTCAGAGTTAGCAAACTCTGTGTGTCTGCTGCTCACTGTATCTCTTCTCCCACACTTCAGCAGTGCCACATTTTTATCTACTATGTAAGCAGTTCTTTTCTGCCATGATTTAAAGGATGATGAGCTGTCATAGTGTGTCTGTCTAGATGAGTGTGAAAGGCAGTGAAAGCTCTCATACAGATTGCTGTAGTGATGTCATTAGAGAGACTCGGACACCAAATGGTATAATCACAGCATGGCATGTGATACCACTGATGATCATAAACATTCACAAACGTTCTTGTCACAGAATACAACATATAGTTAAGTGACTTCATGCATCTTGCAAAATGTAGTTCCTTCTTTAAATCAGCCCATTCTGAGTATTTTTCATGCTGTCATTTTTGCCTCACCATCTCCCAGATGTACATTGGCCACTTCGGCCTCTGACCTATACCGGTGACTGTGACCAAGGAGAACTGGCATGAAGTTGGTAATACTTGGTGTTTCACAGATGCTGTTGTTGGAAAGATCACTGACTTGGACTGGGATGGTACAAACTGCAGTGGACCTAACCTGGTTTTGGAGCTCATGGAGCCAACCTGTTCTCAGAAACCTTGTCTCCCTGGTGCTGTCAGTTTCTACTCTGAGTGGCATTGCCTTAACTCTGGAGGGTATCTGGAACAGAAAGTTTAACATATCTTACAGATTAAAATTATCTTTCCTAGCATATAGGGTACCACAGGGGATTTTGCTTTTGACACTGAGAATAACTGTACAAAGAGATACTAATCATTCATTTTATACAAACTATGTTCCAACAATGACTCACAGTTTCCCAGCTAGACAACCTTTTAAGATTGTGCTAAATGGTTAATCATAACTGGCTTGTCATCATGTGTAAAATTCACTCAACTTAATGTTACTCTGACCAGAATTTCCCCCTTAGGAGTACGACATTTTGGCACTGAAGCAGGCATGCAAACCTAAATGTGCTGTTTCAGTATGAGTTAGGGGAAGGTACTACTTTGCACACAGCAGTAATGAGGCTACAGCTAATAAAATATCTGTAGTTCTTCGGGATGACTTCTTACACACGTGTAATGACAGCAAAATGCTTGGGAAAATAGTGCAACCAGAAAACCACTGTTTAACCAGAAAAGACCTTGTTCCCATAATTAAACTATTAGAATACAAATATTCACACAAAGCGGGCCAGCCCACTACAGGATCACTTTCAGAGATTTTTCAAGATCAGCCTCCTCCTTATTGTGTAAAGGGACTCAAAATTCATCAGGCAATTAAAGAATTTCCCCTTGGAAAGAAACTTGGATTATAGCTACTGATTTCAAAT